GCGCTTGGTGTTGAGCATCGTGCGATACTCGCAGCTGCCAGGTAAGCGGACTTCTGCTCGGGGATGTGATTTTGAGTGTGCCCGAAGTGCGGTCCTCCGCACTGCTTCCATTCGCTCTTTCTGTTCTGACCAGCCACGCCTGTATTGCAAGCGTCGCCGCCGGTGGTGCGTACCACTTCCGCACCCCCCCCGTCAACCCACCCAGTTGTATAGGGTGCGCCTTCAGAGCCAAGGACCATGGGCGTTCGTTGGGCCGACCCGCGGGCAGGAAAGGCAGCGAGGATGTCTCCGAAAACGGGCATATCACGCAGCTCAACGCATCATATCCATATCCGCCGCCTTTCGCGGTCCCCAAAGATCACCCCCCTGGGCGGCAGTGATGGATAATCTCCACCTCGGAGCTGATCGTCCGGATCTCAAGCAGCCACCCGAGGAGTCAGTGCAGAAGCAGCAATAGTCAAAGGAACAGCAAAGACAACCGCCACCGCCGCAGAGACCACCGCCACATGTCCGACCCCTGGGCGGTGGCACGCCCGAGGTCCGCCCAGTACTGGGCGACGCTCACGCGTGCCACCAGAGTCCCCCCCCATGGGTTCTCGGTGGCGGTAGTTTCTGTTTCTCCTCTGGAATGACCATGTTTTTGCTCGTGGGCCACGCGCACACGAGCACAACATGAAGAGCAGCCTCTGCCCCGAATTCCGCCTCCGCGCAGTGCGCAAGTTGGTGCGCGTTTCGGGCCCCACTGCGAGTACAGCACATCGAGCCCAACGTGCACTCACCTGCTGCTCCACTCGACTCTCCGCAGGTTTGGCCTTCCAGCCAGCCTCCGCACGACTCCTTCCCGGAGCCTGAGGCCGCCACACGGCTCGTGAAGATCTACATGGCCAGAGCGCGCCGCCTCCCCTCCGGAGCTCCCTCCGCGGCCGCCCTCCTCCGCATCGCCCACCCCTCTTGTGTCGACCCCGCCTCTTCGCGCCCCGCTGAAGCTCCGACCGCGCCGTGCGCTCGCCGGCGCCGCGACCAAAAAGTTGGGCCCCCCAAGCGGAGCGTGAGGCCGAACACAAAATTGCGGGCGGGGTGGTCCGTGGGCCCACCGCGTTAAGCCCCCCCCCCCACCCCACCCCCACCCGCCCGAAGTCCGAGGGGCAACAGGGGGGAACTGCCTCCGGGGTGGAAGCATCGAGCCTGAATCGGCGATACGTCGCCGATAGATCGACGAGAGGCTCCAGATAGCGAGTCCGCACGTTCCTGGGCGGGTTGGGCTATCGGGCCCCTATCGGCGATCAATGTGCGATTGGAGGTCGATGCGTTCCCCCCGAGCCTACACCTACGAACGTTGCCCCTGAGTGGACCCACCCCGTCAAGCCCCCGACCCCATCCCCCCGCCCGCCCAAAGTCTGCTGCGCCACCCCACCCTCGCCCCTCAAATGGCGCGGCGGAGGACGCGCGAAGCAGCGCATCTGGATAGGCGAATTCCCTGCTCCCACCGCCCTCGAAGCTGCACGGCCGCTACTTCTTTCGCTTCACGTTCGCCTTCTTGGTCTGCCTCGGCGAGCCCGAAGGCTTTCTCACGACAGCGGCCTTCATTGCCTTCCGTGCCGTCTTCTTGGATGGCGCCTTGCTCTGCGTCAGCAAATGGTTGACCAGCTCGACCCAAGACTTTACCTCGCGCGTCTTCGGCAAGTCTACCAAGAGCTTCAGATTCTGCGACCACTCCTTCTGATGCACCTTTCGCGCGGCATCTGCCAGCAGCGTCTCTTGCAGCTGGGTCTCTCGGACCAGCGGATCCCCGAAAGCGTAGTCCGCGAGTTGGGCGAACTCCGTGAGAAGTGGGTGCAAGGCCCGCAGAGCCGTCTTCTCGCTCCAGCTTCCATCGAACAGTGCGCTGGCGACTGGGCGGGCTGGGTCAGATTATCAGATGCTCGTTCTGGGGACATTCCTGGAGACACTGGCTCCGCTAATGCGTCGATGCTGCGTCGAACGTCCGTCGACTTGAGTCGAGTTTGAGTCGAGCTCGAGTCGACCTTGATTCGAGCTGGAGTCGAACTAGAGTCGAGTCGGATTCGAGCTAGAGTCGAAGAGATCTGCTAGATGGCCCCGAGGAAGGTCTCCGCAACGAACATCTAAGGATAGCATGAGCTGTTCGACGACCCTGCCTTTTTTTCGCCGCTTCAAGATCTCGCCGATGCTCAATACATCCCACTCGTCGATGCCGATAATCCCATCAGCGGCGAGCTGCTTGAGGATCAACGCCATGCGCTGGCGTATCTTGGCATGAACGTATATGTCGAAACCCATCTGGTGCTTGGCCATGGCTACCCGGCCAAGTCTAGCAAGGAGTTCATACTCCTGCTGCAACCACTTCTTCGCCATCCTGCCGAAGATACAAGCGCCTGTCCAAGTCTCAGGCCGCAGAGGGGCGAACGCGCTACCCAATGATAGAAGTGTGCCGAACAGGCGCGAGTTGTCGTCTCTATGCAAAGCAAAGCAGTGCGATACCGAGGCCAGGCCCGATCGCACAACCTGCCACACACAATTGAGATGCGGCACCTCCAGTCAAACCATCCGTTGAGCCAACATAGTCACGGACATGCATGACAAAGACGACGATGAAAGCGACACGTCGTCGTCAAAGTGTGCATGTCTGCCAATGTTGACTCCAAATGGGAGCTCGCTGAACACAACTTCAATGGTGGGAACATGCAAGTATTATGGCATCTTATCTTCCGCTCGACTCTAATCCATGCTCTAATATTCCTAACTCTGCTTCTCAACTACATGTTTCCTTGTATGGTATAGGTTTCGAAACTCTCCAAGGCCACCCTCCCCCCCTGTCACGACCATCGTTAAAAATCGCCCACCCACCCCTAGAGTTGCTCTGTGGAGTTCTGCCGGATTCCAGACGAGTTCAAGACAGACAAAGTCCCACCAAAAACTGCTGTGAGACGTCCCAAGAATATCGAGAGACTGCCCCACGAGCCCTCAAAGGCCCTCCGATGGAAAACGTTGACAACGATGACCTCCCTGCAGAAAATGTATGCATGTTGTTTCTGAGGCTTCTCGGCTTCGGCTCGCCTTGAGAAAGCTTCAGAGATCCCCAAGAGACCCCCAAAACGAGGACCAAGGCGGCGCCTTATAGAGCGCCCTAACGACAGCCCTCGGACTTCCGAGGGCTTCCCAAGCCCACCCGAGAGGCTTCCAATACGGCCCCGGGCACCTTCCCTTGCAGATAAAAGCAGTGCGGTGCTCGTTGCGCGCACTTCCCCGTGCAGATCACGCCATGCGACGCGCGGCGAGCACGCTCACAATATCGTTCCAAGACGGCCCCCGAGGCTCCCGAGAGGGCCCAGCAGGAGGCCCCCAAGATGGCCCGAGCCCCAACTGATGCTTCAAGCTCTTCCCCCCAAAATGGCCGCCGAGACTGCCAGCAGGCCTCCAAGATGCCCCCAAGAGGGCCCCATCAAGGCTCCCAGGAGGCCCCCGAGAGGCCCCCCAGGAGACCCGCGAGGCATCCAAGAGACTCCGAAGGTCCCCAAGACGCCTCCGGGTGGCCACCGCGAGGCTCCCCCAGAAGCAGCCAAGAGGCCCCTGCGTCCACGACCCGAGCACGGTGGCGGGATGGGCCGAAGGCCACTGGATCCGCCGCCCCCTGCTTGCAGGGGTGCACGGCGTGCTGGACGAGCTGTTAGGTTTTGGTTTTGGTTCTTTTTCCAAAAGAACTCCCCAGTGGGCTCCGGCAGAACCCGCCACCGTGCGCAAAAACGGCCGTTTCGCTCGGGACATCCTCAAAAAATCGCGAAGATGGCCCAAGATGGCCTCCAAGTCCGCCCGAGATGGTCCAAGACGGCCTCCAAAACGGCCCAAGAGAGTCCAAGACGGCCCAAGACGGCCCAAGAGGCCCCCCAGAGGCCTCCCAGACGGCCCAAGAGGCCTCCAAGAGGTCCTCCAGGAGAGTCCGAAGAGGGCCAAAATCATTGATTTTCCCTTGGTTTTTGAAGGATTTTGGCATTTGCGCCTTTTCGGCTCTCCGACGGCTCAAGACGGCCCAAGAAGCCCCCAAGATCGCCCAAGAGGCCCCCAAGAGAGCCCCCTGATGGCCCAAGTGGCCTCCAAGATGGCCCCTAGAGGGCCCCAAGACGGCCCAAGAGGCCTCCAACACGCCCAAGATGGCCTCCAAGACGCCCAAGATGGCCTCCAAGACGGCCCTGGAGCGCCCCAAGAGGGTCCCCCGTTGGCCCAGACAGGCCCCCAAAACGGCTCCCGACGGCGTCAGACGTGCCAGGAACCCACCAAGATGGCCGAAGTTGGCTCGAAGCTGGCCCAAAAGGGCCCAAGAGGCCCCCAAGAGGGCCTCCAGGAAGGCCAAAAGATGCCAAAATCACTGATTTTCCCAAGGTTTTTGATGGATTTGGGCATTTCCCTTTTTTCGGCCTTCCGACGGCCCGAGACGGCCCAAGAGCCCCCAAAGATCGCCGAAAGATCGCCCAAGAGGCCTCCAAGACGACGACGATGACCATCAAGACGCCCACGTGTTCCCCGAAGGCTTTCCAAACCGATTCGGGGAACACATGGTCCGATGGCTTGGCAGGTCTGGCCTCAACGTTCGGCCACATAGGCGCTTCCACAAAGGCAGGGGGCGGCGGTGATTCGCCGTAGGCGTCTTCGATCCGCCGCCCCCCGTCGATTCATCGCATGGGTGCCTGGCGTGCTGGATGATTTAGGTTTTGGTTTTGGTTCTTTGTCCAAGAGAACTCTCCCAATGGGTTTCGCCCGTCCCGCCGGGGTCCCGGGAGGCCTGCCCACGTGCACAAACTCCGGAAAAAATCCTCCCTGAAACGGCCGTTTCGCTCGGGACATCCTCAAAAAATCGCGAAGATGGCCCAAGATGGCCTCCAAGTCCGCCCAAGATGGTCCAAGACGGCCTCCAAGACGGCCCAAGAGAGTCCAAGACGGCCCAAGACGGCCCAAGAGGCCGCCCAGAGGCCTCCCAGACGGCCCAAGAGGCCTCCAAGAGGTCCTCCAGGAGGGCCCGAAGAGGCCAAAATCATTTTTTCATTAGGTGTTTGAAGGATTTGGGAATTTGTTTCTTCTCTGCATTCCGACGGCTCAAGACGGCCCAAGAGGCCCCCAAGATCGCCCAAGAGGCCCCAAGAGGGCCCCATGACGGCCCAAGTGGCCTCCAAGATGGCCCCAAGAGGGCCCAAGAGGGCCCAAGAGACCTCCAAGACGTCCTCCAAGAAGGCCCGAAAGGGCCAAGACGTCCTCCAAGAAGACCTTCAAAATGCCCACGTGTTCCCCGAAGGCTTTCCAAACCGACTCGGGGAACACATGGTCCGATAGCTTGGCAGGTCTGGCCTCAACGTTCGGCCACATAGGCGCTTCCACAAAGGCAGGGGGCGGCGGTGATTTGCCGTAGGCGTCTTCGATCCGCCGCCCCCTTTTGATTTATCAAAGGGGTGCCTGGCGTGCCGGATGATATGGTTTTTGGTTTTGGTTCTTTTCCCAAAAAAACTCCCCCTGGGGCTTCGGCCCGTCCCGCCGGCCACCCGGAAACTGCACAACTCAATGCCTGTTCCGCCCCAAGATGGCCCAAGATGGCCCCAAGACGGCCAAGATGGCCCAGGATGGCCTCCAAGATGCCTCCAAGACAGCCAAGATGGCCTCCAAGACGGCTAAGATGGCCCCAAGATGCATCCAAGACGGCCCAAGATGGCCCCAAGATGGTCTAAGACGGCCCACAAGGCCCCCAAGAGGCCTCCAAGACGGCCCAAGAGGCTTCCAAGAGGTCCCCCAGGAAGGCCCGAAGAGGCCAAAATCATTGATTTGCCTAAGGTGTTTGAAGGATTTGGGAATTTGCGCCTTTTCGGCTTTCCGACGGCCCAAGACAGCCCCAGAGGCCCCCAAGATCGCCCCAAGATCGCCCAAGAGGCCTCCAAGATGGCCCCATGACGGCCCAAGAGGCTCCCACGACGGCCCCAAGAGGGTCCGAAGACGGCCCAGGAGGCCTCCAAGACGCCCACGATGGCCCCCAAGACGGCCAAGATGGCCTCCAGACGCCAAAGATGGCCTCTAAGACGGCCCCGAAGCGCCCCAAGAGGGCCCCAAGTCGGCCCAGAAAGGCCCACAAGACGGCTCCCGACGGCGTCGGACGTGCCAGGAACCCACCAAGATGGCCGAAATTGGCTCGAAGCTGGCCCAAGACGGCCCAAGAGGCCCCCAAGAGGCCTCCAGGAAGGCCAAAAGAGGCCAAAAACATTTATGTTTTTAGAGTTTTTGACGGATTTTGACATTTGCTTCTTTTCGGCCTTCCGACGGCCCGAGACGGCCCAAGAGTCCCCAAAGATCGCCGAAAGATCGCCCCAAGAGGCCTCCAAGATGGCCCCAGAACGGCCCAAGGGGGCCCCAAGACGGCCCCAAGAGACTCCCAAGACGGCACAGGAGGCCCTTAAGACGCCCAAGATGGCCTCCAAGACGACGGCCTTGGAGCATTCCAAGAGGGCCCCAAGTCGACCCATAGAGGCCCCCCAAACGGCTTCCGACGGCGTCAGACGGACCAGGAGCCCACCAAGACGGCCGAACATGGCCCTAAGATGGCCCAAGACGGCCCAAGAGGCCTCCAAGAGGGCCTCAAGGAAGGCCCGAAAAGGCCAAAATCATTGATCTCCCATGTGTTTTTGAAGGATTGTGGCATTTGTTTTTCCCGACGGCCCGAGACGGCGCAAG